CCCCCCCCCCCCCCCCCCCACGCCTAATTTAAATGAAATGAAATCCTAACTTTCCAACACCACCACATGGATGCTCCTCCCCCACTGTTTTAATCATAATTACCAGCATTTCTTTCATTTTTAAATAATTGTACTTTTTTATTTTTTAGATTTATTGATTTTTTAATTAATATAGAAAAATACTTCATATTAATTACTCCCTTTATCCAAAAATATTTGTCCATATTTGACTATTTATTTTATAAAATATTTTCAAAATATTATTTCATCTTAATACAATATACTCCCTCCGTCTCACTCTCTTTGTCCATTTATCTTTTGGCACATCATCCAATGCACTTCTTTAATCCATTTTATCTTGTAATTTGTATATTAAAAAATTATAGAAATTATATATTAATAATCTATATGTTAAGACAAATCAAACAAGATCACACATGACTATATTTATGCTTACACATTGAGAGAATTTGATGAGTCAAAGTGCTTAGATGAACAGTTCCAAAAATCAAAAGTGGACAAAGATAGTGGGACGGAGGTAGCATATTTTATTTAATTAGAACAAAAGATTGAAAAAAATTAACTGAAAAAAGGCAAAATTGAAGGTAGTTATTAATCGCTTATTAATATATCCAAAGTTGAATTTTTTGTTGATGATTTTTAGAAGTGACGTTTACAAATTACGACCACTTAACTACCCGTGTTTGGGGGGTAAAATCGGATTATTTATTTTATATGGGGAGATAAGCGTGGGCAGACCAAGGAGGGGACAAGCGTTATGCATCTCCAGCTATATATGTAGATATAGATACTCCATGTCCAAAAAGAAAAAAAACGGGAAGAATATGTGGCTCTCAAATTGATCTCATCAAAGTGTGTACAGGTTGAGCTGAGTTGTGAGCCTAATTGAGCTACATATGAGTCTAGTCTAGGCGTCTAGCATGCGTAGCGGACCTAACAATCAAAGCCCGAGCACAATCAAAGTAACAACTAATATATACGTGTTTTATACGGAGTATTATACAACTATGGAGTATTAATTTTTTGTAGATATATAATACTGTTAATGTGCGATATGCAATAATAGAAAACATATTGATTTGATTAAGTAAACTTATACTCCGTACTTCTCTTTTTTTTTTCCTTAGAACTTAGAAGTATGCATGCACATTTATACAGCAATACTATAATAAATGGTGTTATTATAATTACTACTCCCTCCGTTCTCAAAAACACTTCCTCTTTCATTTTTTCCACTTCCAACAAAACACTTCCCCTTTTTATTAAAAAACCACTTTTACCCTTACTTTTTCATACCATACCTATCACATCATACTTTTTCTCTAATAATCTATCTATCACATCTTACTTTTACCCATCACATCAGGAGCAAAATTGAAAATCAACTATAATTTAACACTTCCTTATTTTTGCCCTCAAATCAAATGGGAAGAGTTTTTTCAAACGGAGGGAGTAGTAAATATAATCCATTTAGATATTAGAAGAGTAATTTACCTAAATAGGACTAAAACATAATGATTTTCTCAATATTGGACTATATGTTTTTATTTCCCAATGTAGGACCATTGGTCATTATCTATTAGTCATTATTCAATTAAATGTCCAGCATCACTTGGACATTATTCTTCTTATTAGTCATTATTAAGCTAAATCCTATTTAAAGAATAAAAAAGTTTAATTCATTTAGAGAGTCACTAATTTAAATTCAAACTCTAATTGGTCTAGTATAGCCTCTCATCACATCAGTCCCTTCAAAAACTGGTCCATCCAACTCATTAAACTTTTTAATAGAAAGAAAAAACTCTTTCTAATATCATGCCGTATTTCTTTTCAAAATAAAATGAATGTTATTTTATTCATAAGTAGTGATACAATTTGATAATAAATGATTTTATTGAACAATGAATGAGACCGGCGATGTTCTCGGTTGGAAAAGGAATGGTTAGGTTTTTGAGAATCTTAACTCTGATATCATGATACAATTTGATGATAAATGATCTTATTGAAAAGACATCATTAATATGTCTATTTATTTATGCATATATATATTATAAAAATATAATATATATTTTTTTTATAAAATTATATTATTTCAAAACATCATTTCACAGGTATTTGATTTATGATATGATATACTCCCTTCGTCCCTTAAACTTCTTCCCCTTTCTTTTTTTTCTTGTCCCTTAACTCCTTCCATTATCTATTAAAAAATTACTTTTATCCCTTACTTTTTCATACCCTACCTATCATATCATACCTTTTTACTGATAATTTATTCATCACATCTTACTTTTATCTATCACATCAAGGATATTTTTGAAAAGTCAACACCAAAATATCTCTTCTTAATTTTTCAAAAAGTTAATATGAGAACAACTTTAAGGGAGAGAGGGAGTATAACCCAACATATTTTGCTCATATATATTTCGTGGCCAAAGATAAAAATTGTTAGTCAAAGAACAATAAAACAAGAAGAAAATCACCGGGTAGGAGAACAAAAAGGTTTCTTCTCTCCTGAAAAAAACTTCTATTTTTCTAAAATCAATCAAATTTAAGTTGATAACGCGTGTTTAAGAGAGAATTAGATCTATCATATTAACAAGCACCTCTATACATTGGGTAATAAGAGAATTTACTAGTAAAGCCACGTCTAAGCATCCGTTTCAAGTCAAATTGGACAAGTTTTAAGTTTTAATAACGGTCAATTTGTGCATATTAGTATAATAAAATAAGATTTTGTAAGTCTCAACAAGATAACTCTAATAAAATTATTTTTATACTAATATACATTATAATTTTTGTTTAGTTAAATCTCAAAATTTATTCTGTTTGGCTCAAAAAAATCAAACTGGACAAATATAGTACGGAGTAATTTTCTTTAAAAGTTTTAAGGGACAATTTCATTTTATTTTAAAAGTAGCTAGGAAGTCAATGGTGGAGCCGTAGTTGGGAGTGGATGGAGTATATAATTAGCTGCAGGACTTAGGAAGGCGCATTATAGCCTCGCTTGATTAAATTCGCTGTAGGCTATATATAGGAGATTATATATATATATATATATATATATATATATATATATATATATATATATATATATATATATACATATATACGGAGTATATATATATATATATTTTCAGTTTATATATTTAGAAAAGAATCAAGAGAGAGAGAGAGAGAGAGAGAGGATATGGAGAAGAGCAGATCATATCCACAGTACTCATACGGCGGCGGCGGCGATGTGTGGGGGGAAGAGGAGGGCGGCGGGCGGGGGCGGGCGGGGGCGTTCAATTTCAACGGGCCGAGCACGAAGCAGCAGCAGCAGGGGGGAGATGGGGGGTTCGCGGCGGCGGCGACGAATCCGGAGACGAAGAGGAAGAAGAGGATAGCGTCGTACAAGTTGCTGGCCACCGAAGGTAAGGTCAAGTCCACTCTCCGAGGCAGCGTCAAGTGGTTCAAATCCAAATTCACCGATTTCCGATACGGCCCTTTCTGACGGAGGATATACAAATAGTATCTCCGACCACCAGGTGCCCACCCACCACTCCTCCCGCCCCGCCGCCGTAGCCTCCCTGCAGGCCACCTCATCATCAGATCACTACCACTACTACTTCTTCTTCTTCATTTTAATTATTATAATCGGTGTAATTTTGTGTACGTAGTACTAATTAATTAATTACGGAGTAATTAATTACTATCCTTCATCATCATCATCATCATGTAATTAATGTATCCATGCCGCGCTATATATCTATATATAGGTTTAAATTTAACTTCAAAACTACATTTAATTATTTCAAACTAGGGAGTGAAATGTGGGAATGAATGGAGGGTGGGACTTTCGAGTATTTTAGATGTGGTCTATCGTTTTCTAGGATCATGTTCTTCACCTCCTAATAACTGGATTATATTCTTGAGTTTTGTGGACGGAAATTCACCCAAAAAACAAAAATAATGCTACTGACTCTTACTATTTCCTGTCTCATAATTCATAATTTTTGTTCGTTTACTTTTTTTCCCGTTACTTGAAGTCCCGGATATCAAACTTTTTCAGCTTTAACTTATCTCACCTAATTCACTGGAAATGAGAAGTTTGAACTTTGAAGTCCTAGGGGCTTCATACTTTTATTTTTTACATTTTAAAATACACATTTTCTAATATTAAATTAATAAAATTTAATTATTTAATTTTATTCATTAAAAATTACATTCGTGAACAACAAACACATTCATTAATATAAAAAAATTACATTCATTAAATAAAAAAATTACATTCATTAATAAAAAAATTATATTCATTGAATAAAAAAGTACACGGTGTGATACCATGGATCTACATATGAGCAAAATATGCATTTCTTTACTACTTAGATAAGAATTTATTTTTTTAGATAAAAAATAAAAAACATTATGTAAGAAAATCCACAAAAATGATATGCATCCAGATTGCACTACAGAAGCACTCTTTTAAATGTGAGTATGTAATTATTTTTAGTTTTACACTATTTTTATTTAAATTATTTAAAAATAATTTTAATCAAAGATCGTAAATCGAAATAAACGATTTAAATTTGAACGGCATCCTTTTTCCTTCTTTGAAACTAAACATAGTACTTTAAGTAGTATCAATATTTAAATAGAATTAAATTTGTATATATAGTGCACAGCTGTAGACGGTGGTTATGTCTGTTGTGGACGGATGTGTTTGGCCCTCTTCCACAATCCACATGACAAACCAATTGTACTATCCGCTTCAGTCTATTACTCCCACATTCCAAATTATTTGCCACATTTGTATTTCTAAGACAAAATATCAAGTTTTTTCGATTCATTTTATTTACATATTGGTATAGAAATAAAAAATAAAATTTACATATAAAAAACTAAATAAAAAGTTTTTCGAAATAAGAAGTGTCAAGAATATTTTATTTTATCAAATAACTAATGAAAACGTCGAAATAAACAAAAGTTTCCGCGACTGCTGAAAAAGCAAATGTGGTGAATATTTAGGGACGGAGGAAGTAAGTTTTACTCCGTAAATAGTTCTGTAAAGGGCGTTAGTTGTTAAATACTTAAATCTACCCAATTATGGCTATCCTTTTAAGACACAATTAGACAAGTTTATAAGTTTATATGTCATTTTTTCTCTTTTTATACTTTTACACTATGTTTGGTTTAAGAAATTTGAAATGGAAAAGAAAAGAAATGTGATGGAAAATAATTTTTCTCTTTTGGATAGAGAGAAAAAGAAAAGAAAAGTGAAAGAAAAAAGAAATTAGAAGACAATATATTAAGAGGAGGAAAAATCAAATTCCTCCCATTTTGGTGAGCAAAATGAGAGAATATTTTTCTTTTCTTTCCAAATTCCTTGAATCAAGCGTAGTGTTAGAAATAAATTTGTACATTAGCAACCCCTTTTCTAAATTATCTTTTTCTTTCAAATACTATTAATATACTCGGAGTATACGAGTAAAATTTTAGACTTAAAATTGATTTTATTTATAAATGTTTATGAAGTGTGTGTCTATATATATATATCTGTGTGTGTGTATAATTTTACAAAAAAAAAGTGATGACATGCCTATTAATTTTTCAAATGATAAAAAAACATATACGTAAAAAAAGTTATCGGAAGCTTCAAATAGTAAAGACGACAATGATTTAGGGACGGAGATAGTAATTTTTTTCTTTTTTGGAGTTCTTGTCCAATTTGATTTTATAAAATTAAATTCGATAGATTGTACTGTAATTATCAATTACATTAAATTCACATTGTAGAAACAATAATGTTCGATATTTTCAATAAGATAAATGTAATGAAACTATTTTATACTAATATCCTAGACAATTTTTATTTTATATAACGATCGAGTTTGTCCCATTTAATTTGAAGAGGCCAAATTATATGAGCAAAGTACGTACTTTGCCGAAGTACTCCATATTATGGAGCGTTAATTGCACTCGTTAATGTTTAGCCGTTTAGGTGCATAAGATCTGATTTCGATTTCTGACAACTGCATTGAGAGGTAACAATAACTTTTTGAACAATTGCTGTTCTCAAAAGCTAGGTATAGACATCTTTTCTCTATAAAGCTTGAAAAACAATCTCATTTTGAAAACCTTTTTTTTTGGGTGACTACCTTTGTTACTTTGTAACATCAACCGTTTCAATTTGATTGCGTGTGGGATATTGTTAAGTTTGTTGTGTGGGGGATGATTTTGTCTATCTTCGGCTAATTGGCTATGCTTTTTATGGACTTTAATTTGTGACTTATTACGAGTAATTTTTGAATTTTTTGTGCAGCCCTTCAATATTGAACTTCATGTCTTTTTGGGTTTCACCACTACACAAAATATACTCCCTCATCTTTAAATAATATTCTTTCACAAAAAAAAAATAACAAAATTAAATTTTACGAGTATAATGGAAGATTTATGTAGAATAGAACTATAGAAGAATAATGTAGTCCGTATTTATGTAAATCATATTTTTTCCTAAATGAAATCAGACTTTTATTTTGAAACATTTAAATAAAAAAACATGACAATTATTAGGCTATCTGGTGTCTCTTCACCCAACACTACGCCACCTAAGCTTCAACTTCCTCTTCCCTTTCCCTTTCAACTTTTCCTTCTACTTCCCTTCCTCTTTCAGCCGTTTCAGGAACTCCACCCCCTTTCCTTCCCCTTTCGTTTATAATTTTCAATATTATTTTTAATACTTATTTTAATTAAAATAATTAAAGTAAAAATTTAAATTAAATATTTCATTACTGTTAAATTAAAAGTAGATAAAAAAATTAAAAACACGTAAAGAAATTAATATTTCATTGAATTTATTTTTCTTAGAAGTTTTTAACATTTCATTAACTAAATAACAAAAAAATAACCAAAAAACTACTTCGTACAATTTAAAAAATAAAAATTTTTAAAATTAAAAAAAGAAGTAAAAACTAAAATTTAAAACAGAACAAAAAATTTAAATAAATACTAAAAAAGGCTAATAATTAAAATTAAAAAATGAAGAGCAAAAACTAAAAAAACCCAAAGAGAAAAGAAGAAGTTGGCACGGAAGAGGCGAAAAAGAAGAAAAGGAATATCGTAAAGACGGAAACGGAAGAAAATTGAAACAAAAAAAAGAAAAGAAAAATACATTAAGACCCCGTGTGACATCAACGTTAGAGGTTAACGTTAACATTTTGAAGACATCATTTGACAGTAACCTTTAGAGTTACGGAGTAGCAAACCTTAACAAAAGGAGACGGGAAAAATGGGAACATGGCCCTTCCCACCACATACACGGGAACATGGCGCACCGCATAACCTTAACAAAAGGATAATATACAGAAACATTATTATTTTTAATGTGTTCAAAAAAATTGTATTTGTAACATTAACATGCTAATTACTAGATAGATTGTCAAAGAACAAGTCAACTTTGCAATTGGAGACGTAAAAACGTGCAAGTAGATTTATTTGGTCAAGTAATGTTGACATTGGGTGACAGTGATACTCACAATGGTTAAAAAATTCAACGAAAAGCTTAGTACTCTAAGAGGGAGTCAACATTGGTTAAGAAACAAAAAGTAAAACAATTTTTATTAGAATGCATAAGGAGTTGTATTTTAAAAAATTGTTTTGAATATGAAAAATGCACTCATTTTTGTGAAATTCAAGTTAAATTTTTCGTCGCATACTACTAGTTATTAGGAAGAAGATGGATTTATGCACACCATAAAAACATTCCCACCCTTTCCATTGGTACCACAAAGAGATTCAGGTGTTGTGCCGGTGTGCTAAGGGAAGAGCCGAAATCTAAAAATGCTGGGAAAATTCGTACGACATGAAAAATTGCCCATATATATGGAATGTACACGAAGATTCCTGAGAATGTCTAGCTGAATTCTTGAAGAAGAAGAAGAAGAAACTACACGGAGTATGTTTTGTTTTTTACTCTCTTCATAGAAAAATAGGAGCCATTACCAGAGTAATTGTTGCAAGCATTTTTATGAGTACATGCAGCGACGGTCCAGCTGTGTCTTTGAAAGGATCTCCTACCCTGCAAGCCAAAATACATTTGATTTAAACAAGTATCACAATCCCCCACTCATGTCAGAGATTGAAAGGAACCAACGGAAACCATCCTTGTTAATGATGATAAATTTCAGTGTTAATCATATTGATTATGGCCCCGTTTGGCATCAACTTAGAGGTTAGCATTTTGAAAAGACTATATGACAGTAGCCTTTAGAGTTAGTGTTTTCAGAACTAATCTACACTCAATTTTTTTATCAAAAACGCTAATGCTAATCGAAAACGCAGTTCCCGAACAAGGCCTATATGAATGTATGGATGTATGTATGTATGCATGTATGTATGTGTGTGGCATTAAAAAAGCTGGAGTACTTACGTATCACCAGTAACTGCTGCTTTGTGACAGTCGCTCCCTTTGCCACCAAGGGCACCAGTTTCAATGTACTTCTTGGCATTATCCCATGCGCCACCAGCAGTGTTGAGGAAGAGAGCCATCAGAATACCGGACACGGTTGCAAACATCAACATTGATGCCACCACCTTTGCCCCAAGCAGTGGTTGCCCCGTGTAATATCCCAACATCCGGAACAGAAAGCCTGAACAGCAATGATTTATAGTATATCAGAAGAACACAGCTCAAGTGTTTCACACTTTTGCGATCATATTCTTCCTTTGATATTGAAGTGTTCTATAATTAGGAATTGAAAATGTACAATCATAGCTTATAGTTGTATTAATTTCTTTGCAATGAAGGAGGAAAATACATTCTGGTGGTGGTGGAATTGATTTAAACAAAAAGATAAAATGCAAACTTTGGAGAACATACCAACAACTGCAGGTGATACAATGGCCAAGGCTCCTGGTTTTATCATCTCTTTTAAAGATGCTGATGCAACAATAGATACACATCGACCATAATCTGGCTTCTCTTTGTAGTCCTTCGACAATCAATGACCAATATATAACAAGCAAACAGGAAAAACCAAAAAAACATCACACCATGTATTAATACAAAATACGTTGTAATACATATCACTAACGTGAAATTTGAGAATACCATTATTCCTGGCCTCTCAATGAATTGTCTTCGGACTTCATTGACAACTTCTTGAGCAGTCCGACCAACTGCCGAACAAGCCCATGCACTGAATAGAAAAATAAGCATAGAGCCGAATAATCCACCAACAAATACTTCAGGTATTGCTATATCAACCTGCATGGTGAATTATGGATTGCCAAATATAATGTTATATCAAAAACACAAAAAGCAAGAAATTTACATAAATAAAGAAGACACCAATGGAGAAGCTTGTTAAAATCTTGGTGCAACACCCGTACTTGCTTGAAAGGTACATTAGAAAATGCAGCGACCTCATCCATGTATGCACTGAACAGAAGAAATGATGCTAAGGCTGCAGATCCAATAGCAAATCCTTTGGTTGTGGCTTTAGTAGTGTTTCCAACCGCATCAAGAACATCAGTTATTGCACGAACACTTTCTGGCTGCAAGGGATACTGTTAATTATACTACAGCCCTCTCAGTTAAACGTTAAACTGTGGGAAAAAACCTGGTGACGATTTTGAAATTTCACCTTCACTTTTCACTGTGCTTTTTTGCATGAATTTATGGTGTTAATAACTAATTGACTCTAAACATTTCACACCCCCCCCCCCAAAGGGTAAAGGTGGTGGTGATGGCAGTCGTGATTTGTTAAAAAAGACTAAATATATTCCATCCAGTTTGATTATGAAGCATCACCTGTTGACTCATCTCAACTATTCCACCAGCATTATCGGCTATTGGACCAAACATGTCCATGGTAAGAACATATGCTGCGGTACTCAGCATTCCCATTGTTGCTACAGCTGTACCAAACAAACCACCAGTTGGATTTCCGGCATCATCAATCAGTCCTGACGTACGACCCAGCCAGAAAGCTGAGACAATGGATACACTGATGACAAGGACAGGTAGAGCTGTAGCTTCCAGACCCAAACTAACACCAGCAATGATGTTAGTTCCATGTCCTGTTGAACTAGAAAGAGCCAAGGTGCGCACAGGTTCATGTTTATAGTCAGTGTAGTACTTAGTTATCCAAACAAACGCATATGCTGTAATAATTCCAACCAACCCACAGAGTGCAAAATTCAGCCAGGCAGAAGGTGCTTGTTCTGTGTATAATAACCACCGAGTGGACTGCAAAGTAAAATAAGACATAATCACACACAACTAAGCTAGAGTTACATTGCTTCTCCATACCCTCAAATGTAAAAAGGCAAAAGATGATAAAGCACATACAATGACATGAGGTTGAATGAAGATGAAATTACCAGTCCAAAGGTCAAAACAGCTAAAATTATTGTAATAGAATATCCCTTTTGAAGAATTGCCATAGGATCCTCTATAGCACCAATTATATTAGACTCGCGTCTGTTCCGAATAGAGAGTATACCAACAGATGAAATAATCAGATCAAATGAATGAACGACAAGAGGAAATAAGATGAATCCAGAAGGATCTGCATGCCAAGGTTGACAGAGAATATTGGATAAGTTACTATTGCAACAGCAGATTCAAGACTAAAATAATAACGAACAGCTAACAAAATATAATCAC